TCTGTACATGGAGGACCTCCACCTGATCGGCATCCAGGAAGCCCGCACGCCCTGGGGAGTTCGCAGCGGCAACGACATCACCAGCACGAGTGCGTACGCCTACCACGTCATATCAGGGGGGCACGATCAGTACAACCTCGGCTGCGAGCTCCACATACTCACCAGCAAGCCGTACGGAAAGGCAGGAGCCAAGGACCTCTACTTCCGCCCCGATCAGTTCACCGTCATCGAGCACAGCCCTCGGCATCTCGTAGTAAGGATAGAAGCCCCAGGATTTCGAAATACAGTCTGCGTCGCCCACGCACCACATTCTCGAGCTAAGCCACACGAAAAAGATACCTTCTGGGAGATGATCGAGTGCGCAACGTCTAACCACAATATCAACATCTTCCTCATCGATGCCAACGCTCGAACGGGCAGCTTATGCAGCCAGGCAATCGGCGATCAAGGCTTCAAGCAAAAGGAGGACGACAACGGCGAACGCTTCCACAGGGTCCTGCAAGGCAACTCTCTCATAGCCGCGAACACCTTCAAAAGCGGAGGCCAGGACCACTATACATGGGACTCAGGCAAAGACGTACACAGACTGGACTACATAGTGGTTGGCCACGAGCTTTTTGACTCAATCTCCTACACGTCCGTAATGTACGGTATCGACACAGAACACGACCACTCACAAAAGAACGACCACTTCCCTGTCAAGGCTAACCTCGCCTACACAGTCGAGACCACCTACCAGCACGGCACGCCCAAGCTCGACACCGCTAAGCTCGACTCCGAGACAGCCAAGAACGACTTTCAACGACGCCTGCAGCAGATCCAACATCCCCCCTGGGAGACCAACCTCAACGACCATACCAAGAGCATCGTCGATCAGATAAAGGACGCAGCCTACGCCAGCTTCAAGAAGCAGCATCATGCCCCCCGCAAGCCTTACATCACCGAGGCCTCCTACGCTCTTCTTCGATTCCGACGCACCCTCATCAAGACGATCCGCATCGTGAAAAGGAATGGCATTGGCTCCAAGAAGTCACGCAGACGGATCCGATACACCGCGCACCTCATTGCAAACCAGTCAGCATCAGCGTCCCCCGACGACGTCATCCACCTCATGGACATCCCTGGATACACTCAGCTGATGATCAAGACCATCCTCTTCATCAACCACACGGACCCCGACCATACCACGGCTCCACACCACGACGATACCGATGGCACGACCACTTTCACTACGAACCTTTTTCGACTCATACTTGAGCTTCATCCAAGACACCGACCGCATTCTCAGAATCCGCCTCGACCTTGACCGCGACGCCCACCTCGAGAGCTTCTCCGACAACATGATATTATCAGCCGCAGGGAATGCCCCGCGGAAGGAATGGGCAAACGTGAGGGCCTTACTCACATACGGCGGCCGAACACCTAAGAGAACTCCGACTCCCAAAATACGCCAAGACGATGACGGAGCTCCACTCACGACGCCACAAGCCATTGCGGAGCATGCCCTTCGATACTACGGCAACATCGAGAATGGCATCAACACCGACATCGAAGGCGTCGTCAAGCACTACAACAACAAGACAGCACACACAAAGCCGATACCCCACATCAACAACGCCCAGACCATCCACAACCTGACAGCCGCCCTGGCAGCCTCCAAGAAAGGCAAACGCGGCGGGCCCGACGGGAACACCGACGACATGGCACGAGCAGCACCGCGCCAGATTGCCCGACTCCTGCACCCCATCATGATGAAGATGCAGCTGATGACGACGGAGCCCATCTCGGCGAAGGGCGGATTCTCCACCCACTTCTCTAAAGGACAAGGACAGCTTCATTTGCAGAAAGCCTACAGGGGCATCCTACTGAACAACACGATTGGCAAGATCAACAGCAAGTTCCTGAGAGGCCTCTTCCGCGACATCTTACCCGACCTGCTCATGGACACACAATGCGGCGCCGTCCCTCACAAGGCGACTGACTTCATCACCCACACCGCCTACACCTTCCTGGACGACTGCCGTGCACAGGCTCGCACGGGCAGCATCCTCTTCCTGGACTTGAGAGAAGCCTTTCATTCGGTGGTAAGGGAGTTCATGTTCCAGCTGCCGACTCAGGAGGACGAGCTCGAAGACGTCATCGACAACATCGAGATTCCCATATGCCTCCTCCCCTCCCTACGACAACGGCTTCGCTGCCCAGCACATCTCAACGCCCACGTCGACGACTCCCACCTATGCGCCTTCGTTGCCGACCACCACACGGCCAACTGGATGACCGCCAAGGGCACCGACGCATACGTGATCCCACGCACCAGTACCAGGCCAGGGGTGCCATACTCAGACGCGGCTTTCAACATGCATTTCGCCCTAGTGCTTCAGGCCATCGCCGACGACGCTGAAGAGGCAGAAGACGGTGAGAGTGGCCACCACATCCGCCCATGCGACAACCCGCTCTTCTCTACGGCCCCGCATCAAGGCGGCAAGCTGACTAACATGTCCTTCGTCGACGACCTCACCGACTTCAACTCGACCACCAGCCACTCCGACATCATTGACATTACGAAAACTTCAGCCGAACGTCTATGCCGTATAGCCTTTACCTACGGGCTCAAGCCACACCCAGACAAGACCAAGGTCATTATCTCCTTCAACGGGACGGGCTCCAACGTCGCACGCAGCAGGCTTGCACAGCAGAACATTACGTCAATCCAGCTGAGCATCATGTCGATCTCGGTCCAGATCACTGACCAGCACCGACTCTTAGGCACTATCCTAACCAACGGCAGCATGGGACCCGAGGTACAGAATCGCATGCGACGAACCGAAGCTTCGGCACGAGCTCTTGAGAGGCAAATCCTGAGACGTCGACACCTACCCCGCAAAACGAAGATCAAGTACGTGCACGCCCTCTCGACCGCCTCATTGACCTTCAACCATCACGTCTGGCCAGCACTGACCCAGACCGACCACCAGCGCATCTCCAACGCCTACTCGAAGCCCTACCGCACGGCAGCCGGACTACCCAAGACGAACTCGCACCTTCATCATTTCACGGCCACCGAAGTAGTAGCTTACACAGGCATCCCCGACTTCGACCACCACCAGTCTGCTGGACGGTTGCGATACTTACCACGGCTTCTACGACACGCTCCTCAACAGCTCCTCCAACTGCTTGACAACCAGCGACGGAGAAAGGGCTCATGGACATACATGCTTTTCCAGGACTTCGACTTCCTGCGCACATACCTGGACGACCAGCGCTGGCCCACGACAAGCAAGCTCGACCCAGACGTGTTTTCATGGGCTCGCACCACGCCGAAGCACTTCACCAACTCCGTCAACCTGGCCGTCACAAACTACATCCGCGCCTCTAAAGACCACGCCCACGCCGACAAGCTTACGAAGGTGCTCAGACCCGACGGCCCCACTGGTGCGGACACTACGCCATCACGCGACAACGGCGCCTGCAACTTCATCTGCTACGAGTGCGGAATTGTAACCAAGACAAAGCAGGGCATGGCAATACACATCGGACGTGAACACCGACGACCTGATCATCCGCGAAACTGGGCATCGGGTACATCGTGCAGAATATGCCGCCAGAACTTCCACTCCTTCGCCAAGCTAGTGAAGCATCTAACCACGGTAGCCCGCTGCCGACGGTCATGGCACATGTGGTACTTACAGGGACCTGCCATCACGGAGGAGGAAGTGGCCGCCAACCAGGCGATCTACGCGACCAGCATAGCCGACAACAAACGCAGAGGACGCCCCGAACTATACCACCATATCCCAGCCCATGCATCCGACGTCACTCCCTTACCATCCCTTGACCTATCACCTTCACCACCGCCATTCTTCCCGACTGTACCAGAGCTCACACCACCACCACCAGCCCACCACCCTCGAACACCGACCAGAAACAAATCTATTTATTACCTCACCAACACAGAGAGACACCCGAACGATCTGCTCGACATCACGGACCAACGACTATGCTATAAGGGAATGGTGATGGAACGAGTTATCATGACCTTCGATGATCTTTACTCTCTCGACCACCCATCTCAGCACGACGCCCTCGATTCGATCCACCAGCACATTCGACAAGGCGACTTCGCGGGAGTGATGATCAACCTCTCGCCAAGAACGTGGATCGACCTAGGCGACGGCGACCAGCACGACAGAAAAGCAGCATCTTCAAGGACAACCACGGACCCCTGGGGCAGAGTAAGCCTTGGAGGCGAGGCAGCCGAACGACGACTGATCGCGAACCACCATGCCCGCATCGCCATCCACACCTTCCACGCGGCTCACGTCGCCGAGGTACCAGTACTACTGGCGCAATCTGCAGCCCCAGAAGGTCCATCCCTGTTTTGGAACACTGAGATGATGCTCTACGCGACGGAGAGTCTCACCACGAGAAGACCTACCGCGCTAGACGTCACCAGCAGCATCTATGCAATACACTACGGCCTCTCCCAGGAGCACGGCAACTCACTCGACGATTTCGTCGACTCCATTGTGGACCACCAACCACATCATGGAGACCTCCAACCACAACATCAGGGAGACCGCCAACCACATCGTGAACGCCCCCTCTATGGAGAGGGGGGAGAGGACACGGTCCAGGCCTGACCTGGGCCGCCGCCCGCGGGCAGGTCATCATGGGGGTGGCTTTCCTTACTCCTCAGGCCTTTAATGAGCCCCCTCCCACCTCTCCACTTTGCCACCCCCATGTGGCCACTCCCCTCTCCTCTTTAGCGTCTTCCTCCTCCCCCTCCCTGAAACTCCTGGGAGTCTCCTGGGCCCTCTCCTGGGCCTTTCTTTTTTCGCCCTTTTTGGCCCCCGCCCCTTCCCTCGCGGAGCCTAGATGGCTCCTTCCCTGGGCATCCTGGCGGGGGTCTGTGTAGGGGGAGGTGGTCCCCCCAGCGCGCCTTCGGCGCACGCGCGGGCCCGCCCGCGCGGACGGCTGCGTCCCGCGAGGACATTGAGCCGCGAGCGAAGCGAAGGAGGAAGAGGAGTGCCCCATCTGCCCGCTGCTTTTTGTTCGGCGCGCGGACTGCCGACACTGTCTCGCATGATCCGCCGCCGCCACCCCAGCGAGGAGCATCCGGGGTGAGCGCCCCCCCCCTCGGGCCCCGTATACACGGGGACTTTGACAAACTGGGGCATCCGCGCGTTCAAGAGAAGTGCAGCCCTTGCCATCGCTCGGACACCCCTTCCCCGTGCACTCTTTTCGGCCTCGTGCGTGTACGATTCTTCTTCGCAAGATGATCCAGGATGCTCTTCGCTGGCCCTCGCCGAGAAGAAACTGCACCTCGCCATCGCTCGGACGTCCATTTCCCGTGCATTTGTCGGTTTCGTGCGTGTTTTTCTTGCTCGATGGTCCAGGATGGTCCTCGATGGTCCTCGCCGAGGAAAAAAGGCACACGTCCCAGCGATGCCGCGAGCCTTGGCTCCAGGCACCCCGGCGAACTTCTCGTGCTCTCCGGGGCGGCTCCGGCACGCTCCTATGTGGGCTCTCGCAGCCCGTCCCGGCCCTCGATCGGGGGGCGACCCGCCTCTCCCTCGGGCCGGCACCCCCCCCCCCGGCCGGAGGAGGTCCCGGAGGAGCAGCAGGGCCGCTCCCCGAAAGAGCTCCTGGAGGCCTCTCAAGGGGCCCAAGGACACACAAATAAATACACACAAATAAAAATATCCCCCATATGTTATATATATATGTATATTCTGGGTTTCTGTCTTCCCCCCAATTCCCATATTTTCCAATATTTTCCTGAAGTCGACGATTAATTATGTCTGTGTGTTTTTTTCCCTCCTGACAGCAGGGCCGCTCCCCGAGCGGCCTCCCCCCCCCGTCACGAAAGAGCTCCTGGAGGCCTCGCGCGGCAGCTCGAGGCCCAAAACTTGCTCGCGTCGGGTTTAGCGTGGGGTCCACGTCGGGTGCACGCCGGACTCGTGCCAGAGCATCGCCGCGCGAACGTCGACCCATACCTTACGGAGCGGGCACGTGGCCTAGATAATTCAACTATTGCGTGCCGCGCGAGGCCTCCTGGATGTCCCACATGTGACACCCCTGTGCCTGAAGCTCGTGCTGCCCGACGGGAGCACGCTGCCCAGCACGCAGCCCGTATGTCCAGAAGAAGAAGAAGAACAAAAAAAAAAAAAACGCCATAACACCGTAAACTTTTGGCGCTCCGCGCGGACTTCTTGGATCTGTGCTGGACCCTCCTCCCTGGCGCGCGGAGCGCGCCAGGGGCGGCGCCAGAGGCGCCGCTGGGGGGGGCGGGGGGCCAGCGCGGATCCAAGAGATCCGCGCGGAGCGCCTAAAGTTTATGTTTATTATGGCGGTTGTTTTCTTCGAATCTTGTGATCACGGTTGGCATCGGAGAGATGGCCTGCGGTGTGGTGCCGCTGGCCCGCGCGCTGCACGCCATCCACCCCCGCCTCGGGGACAGCGCGCTCCGAGAAGAAGCCCCGACCGGAAGACAGCGCGCGCGCCGAAGGGGGGCCCTCGCGGGGGGATCGCCTCACAGGGGATAAACGTTGGGTCGGGCATGTCCTGCAAACAGGTGGACCCTGGAAGACAAACAATCACCAGTCTGGAACACATCCCTATCCCTATGTTGGGCATCGCCTCATCACGATGGCGATCTTAGGGATTTCCTCAGTTTCTGAGGGCGTATCCCTAAGATTGTCATCTTTTCGCGTGTCAGTCTTAGGGATAGGGATAGGTTCGAGGCTGGTAACATAAGAGAATCAAGCAAAGTCCAGAAATCACGAAACATCGCCACCGGGCTATTTCTTACTGTTCGTGGATCCTCCTCCTCCCGAGGGGCATGCCCGACTCAAGGACCGCGTGGTCTTCGGAGCTCCACGTGGCACGCGCTGCCTTCCCCCAGCGCCAGCCGCGCAAAGGGGGGGCCCAGGGCCCTCGACTGCCCGGGCGGGGGGCCTGGAGCGCTTCCGAGGGCGCCGCGCGCGAGAGGCGCTTAGCTTCCTGCGTGCCGCTGGGAGGTCCCCTTGCCATCGCTCGGACGTCCATTCCCTGTGTTTTTTGTCGGTTTCGTGCGTGTTTTTTCGCCAAATGATCAAGGATGCTCCTCGATGGTCCTCGCCGCAAAAATGCACACGTCCGAGCGATGCCAGGTTCCTCCGTGACGCTGGGAGGTTCACGGGCACAAAAACGTCGCAACAACTCTGGAGGGGGAACATAATTCCCGCCCCCCCCAGAGGGAAACCTTGGCCCCGCAGGGCTCTGGAGGTGGGGATGGGTACCGTCTCCTTCGGGTCTCGCAGCACCCATCCCCACCTGGAGGGGGTACGCCGGGAGAGCCGACGATGAGACTCAACTGCGCCCGAACCAGAGAAAACCACATTGCCCCCCTCCACCCCGCCCGGTCTTGCCATTGGCGAGTGCTGCGCTCGAGCTGCCTGGTTCAAGATCTGGCCTGCCCCGGTTCTGTGAGGGAGCGCTTCTTCCATACTAAGGCCAGGGCGCGCAGACGTCACCGTCGTCTCCGTCGTCGGCGTCGTCGTTGTCGTGGTGCGTGTTGCTCTGCTCGGGACTTGTTTCCCTTGTGCAGTGACCACCACCACCACTGAGGCCAGGGGGCGAATGGGGGGCCAGGGCGAAGTGGCGCCCAAACGCTTGTTGCAGAGCGCTGTCCTCCGACGGGGTGGTCACCAAGGGCCGCCCCGGAGCTCTCGTGGAGGTCTCTTGTGGTCCGTCAAGGAGGCCTGGGGGGCGGGCCCCGAAGACAAACGTCAGTGGCGAGCATGGTTGCAGGGAGCCTGGGACACACAAATTAAATAGACACAAATCAAAGGATTCCTCATCTATTCCCATATCTTCTGGGCTTTCGTCTTCCCCCCCAATTCCCATATGTTCCCGTATTTTCTGCGGAATCGACGATTGATTGTGCCTGTGTTTTCTTTTCTCTCTTGAATGGTGCTGCCGCGTGGCTTCCAGCGGCCCGCCCTTCGCGGCCGGCCCGACGGGGGTCCACAGCCGGGCCCGCAGGCTCGCTCGAGGAGGGCCCCCGAGGGCCCCCCGTCCTTTCGAGGGGCCGCGGCGGCCTCCGCGGCGGCCCCGCGAAAGTGCTCCACGAGAGTGCGCCTCCGCCAGACGTCCGAGAGCACCCCGCCCCTCGCCAAGAAGGGACCCGAGGACCCCCCAGAGGCCCCCCAGGGGAGGCCCTCCCAAGGGGGCCCTGTGGGAGGCCTCGGGAAGAGGACTCTCGGAAGCGGCCGGGAGGCCCTCAGGAAGCCCCGAGGTGGCCTCCAGGAGGCCCCTGGTCCGGCGGCCCTCAGATGGGGCCCGGAGGGATGGCGCCTCAGAGGCGAGGGAGCTTCCTCGAGGTAAGTTCAACCCGGTTTCCTTCCCTACTCCTGTCTGGATGCCCGAAATGGGCACGGAAAGAATGGGTATGATGCCCAACAGCAGTTCTTGTTCATTCTGGACAGGGCTCGCTGTCCGCGCCGCCGCGGCCTGTGTCCATTCGAGACAGGAGGCCGCCCGCCCAACAGCGGCCGCTGTTGGCTTGGGACAACATTTGTTGTTGGGCATTGTACCCATTCTTTCCGTGCCCATTTCGGGCGTCCAAATCCTAGGGCCCCGTCCCTCAGCGCCCCACCTTTGACCAGGCCGCCTGGTGGCCCACAGCCCAGGCACGGGGGCGGGCTGGGCCAAAAGGCCACCGCGTGCACGCCGAACGCGCGTGCCCTGGCGCGGCTATTTCAGCCGGCGCCGCGAGGCTTCAAAGAGGCGCCGTGCCGATCGCACGCTCTGCGTGCGGGAGCCGCGCGCGGTGGCCCGTGCTGTACGTGCGGGCCACCGGACGTGGCCACTGCTGCTTCGGGGATGGACAGACCCCCCTTTAGCAAAACGTGGTTTAGTGAAAACGACCTGAGGCCCGCAAGCCTGGAAAATGACGGCCACGGCGCCCTCTCGAGAACCGAAAACGGACAATTCACTAATCGACGTGTCACTGCTGGGGGTTCTGTCCAGCCCCGACTGCTATGAGCGGCCAGGGGCCGCGGCCCTGCTCCGCGGAAGCGGCTCTCAAGAGAGTGTGCGCCGTGCTGGCCGCGGCGGTGCCTCAGGCCAGCAGCGTGTCCTCGAGCGCGCGTGTGCCACTTTATTATTCCCCCGCGCGCGGCCACCTCCAGCGCACAGCGTACTGGTCGTCCAAACCGATTGGCGGTCCGCACATCCCCCAGCAAGGAGCCAGACAGTAAAACGTGAACAGTCGCGTCAACGCCGTCCGCCTCAGCGCTGAGCAAGAATGGGTCAACCGTCGAAGACGCGCCCAAGGATGAGCTGACGTGGGCCGTGGGGGGTACAATCGATGCGCATAGGGGCTCACTTCCCCGCAGACTCTCCACGGTCAAGTCCAGACTCGATCCCGAATGAATGAATTTCCGATGACCCAGGCCAAACGACGTTCACGGTAGAAGAGTAGCATCAGGAAGAACGAAGAAGCGAAAGGAATGTGAGACCCAGTGCAACCCAGCTGCCCTGTGCAGGAATCAAACATGAACGCTGTGGTGTGAGGCTATCGTCCAAGGTGCGCCTCTGGAAAGTGTTGCAGGCCTCGTGACGGCCCCATGAGGAAAAAGCGTTGAATTCAGAGGGAGTGGGACCCCCCATTCATCCACTCCCCACCAGAGCAACCGTGGGCACCCTACCCCTACCCGCATGAAGCTTCAAAGCCATTGATCAAACACCTGAGCATACCTCCCTGCTTCCTTCCTCTCCCCCCTCGAAGCTCAGCTTCCCTGGGGAAATATTTGAAACAAACAAACGACGTGTGAGTCTGCTGCCTTCATCAGTCTGATGCTGCCCCCCGTCATCCCCGCTCCTCCCTTTCCTCTTCCACTGTCACTCCCCTCCCCCTAAGTCCTGACTGCGTCTTCTGTTGTCCTCCTTTCCCTTCACTACCTGTCCATACTCTGCTGCTGGTCCTCCTCCTCCTCCTCCTCCTCGTCCTCCTCCTCCTCCTCCTTCTCATCCTCCTCTTCATCCTTCGTTCCACGCCCCTCCACCCATTCTTCATTCCTGATCCTGCTCTTCCACCCCATTGGTTATTCTCGCTCCCCCCCGAGGTCCAGCGGATTGCTGCCCTAAGCGGATCCAACAGAGACCTCCCCTTCCCTCGGCGCTGCCAACTGTGCAGTCGTCGTTACTTTCGTGAGGCATTGGGAGGTCTATCAGCATGCTCTCCTGCGCGGGTCCCAGTGAGGCATCGCCTCCCTGGGCGTTGCCCTTTGAGAGCTCGATGCGTCGCGTAGACCCGCGCCCTATGCAACTTTCGCCACGCATTGCGTCCCTGGCGATGCCACTCTCCGTCAGCCTGAGCCCATTGCCACGCCTACTGGTTGCCTGTTGCAGATGGTTTTGGAACGTCACCGGGTAAATTCTTTTGCCGCAGCGTGGGCGCCTGAGCTCTCGAGATCGGCTTCTCGTCGCGGGTGGTTTACTGACGGCCCAGGGCCCCGCAGCCAGCAGCTCCCTGGAGGCCCAGCTGTCGAAGCGAATCCCTCCGCCGCGATTGTCTTCCAGCCGCCGGGGTCTGAGGGAGAAGCAGGGGAAGGAGGAGGCGGAAGGACCTCCTCCTCCTCCTCCTCCTCCTGCTTCCCCAGCCCCTTCGTTCGGCCATGCCCTGGGGGCTTTGCCAGTGTGGGCCCAGTTTGTCCCTGAAACTTGTTGCTTGAAGAAGAAGGAGGTATAGGAAAAGGGCAGGCCGCAACATCTCCGACCAACCCGTGCACTCCGCGGCGATGCGCGGCAGACCTGGCCCGTGGCTTCATTTACACTAACATCCCAGACGTCAAAAAGCACCAGCGAGAAGAGGAGAAGGGAGGAGGATGAGCAGGAGGAGGAGGAGGAGGAGGAGGACGAGAGGAGGAGGAGGAGGAAGGAAAAGAGAGGCCTGGCCCTGCCAGAGGAGGAGAAGGGAGGAGGAGGAGGAGGAGGAAGAGAGGAAAAGAGGAGGAGGAGGAGGAGGAGGAGGAGGAGGAGGAGGGAAAAGAGAGGCCTGGCCCTGCCTGACATCATACCCCCCGCGACAGCAGGCAGCACCCTCCGATCCGCCCGCAGCCTCGCCCAAGGAGACGCCCGACCCCCACGGGCAGCGCACGCGAAAGCACCGGCCCCCCCCGGCAGGGAAACACAGAACCTCCGATCCTCTCCTGCGGCCCCGTGATCCCGACGGGGTTCTCCATTTGTTGCTGTGGTTGATGGCGACACGGTGCCTGTGCCATGGACGCCCTCGGCCGGAGGTCGACAAAATAGTTGGAGGTGTAGAAAATGCCGGCCAGACGTCGCCTTCAGCCACACCTGGCCGGAGGCAGAAGAAGTGGTGAAGGAGACGGGTGCCTCCACGTGCCCCCCAGAGGTATAGGACTGGGTCGGGCATGTCCCCCTACAGGCGGACTTGGGCGAAAGATGACAAAACATATACAGCAAAGTGCTCCTAGATGGTCCAACATACGCAGAAACAGTCGTCCCACACGATTTGCTTTCTACTCTTGCACGTGCTTCCTGTAGAAGAGGGACACGCCCGACGCCGGCCCCGCGACGACCTCGCCCGCGTGCGCTCCAGGCTGAACGCCGCCAGTGGCATCGCCCAATATCTGAGCATTTTCTTAGGGTGGAGGGCTCAGGGTGAAATCTAGATGGGCTCTTGCACCTCCAGAATCAATCCGCCTTGTGATTCACCGCTTGCAGATTCAAGCCTCGAAAATCCATCGAAACGGCATTTCAGATTTCACCCTGTGCCCTCCACCCAAAGAAAATGCTCCGAATATGAAACGATCCCGCCACTCGAAGGCTGCCGATCGCTCGAGGTTGCACGAACCACGCGAGGCCGGAAACCAACGCGGCGTCGTCGCGACACGAGCCCGCCGCACCGTCGGGTCGCTCGGTGTGTTGAGGCAATCTCCTGGAAGGGCACTGGGGTCGCGGGGCCGCCTTGGCATCGGCTGGGCCCTCTCGAGGTCCTGAACGTTTTCACGGAAACTTTCACTGCGGCCAGGTAACTCACCCACCCTCAGACTCCCCCTATACCCAAGCTCACTCGTACTCAGACTCACTCAGACTCAGACTGATACTCATCATACTCGTACCCAGGCTCACACTCAGGCTTACGCACACTCAGACTCACTCACACTCACACTCACCCGCCCTCATTTTCACTCATACTCACTCGTACTCAGACTCACTCATACTCAGACTCGAACTCATCAGACTCATACTCGGACCCACTCACAGTCAGACTTACTGGCACTCGGACTCACTCGCACTTAGACTCACTGATACTCAGACACTTACGCATAGTCAGACTCACTCGTGCTGAGACTCTGTCTTACCTAAACTCCCTCACACTCGAACTCAATAATGCCTGGGCTCAGTCACACTTGATCAGATCATTTCCCATTTAGGTTCACTCAAAGTCTTCTCTCCTTTGGCAGTCCAACGCTCCCTCGTTCTTCCACTTGCGACTCCGTAATCTCTCCTGAAAGATGGCCTGAGGAGGAAGACGTCAGTGGAGCCGTCGCTGCCGTCTTCGCCGTTGCCGCGCCCGTCATCTATGCCGACTCGCTCTCACACGCAGATGCTCACAGACAGAGTTCGCCAACGAGACGGGACAACTATAGAAAATGCAGATATTTGGTAGACCACAAGGTGCCGATGTCGCTACTCCCTGGACCTCTCTCGGGGGGCGTTCTGACTGCAGATTCGAAAGCGAATCAATCCAGCGTTGGCGACGAGGGCCTCACATGAGGCCCCAAACGAAGGGAACGACAGGAAGGTAACAGATTGGGTTTTCCCCCATTCTGAAGAATGGGGATCTCCGCGTCGAGCAATTCTGATTGGAGTTTTTGTCCACGGCGCGAGGGGGTCGGGGGCAGCTTCGCCCAAGAGGCTGAAGGGCCCCAAGGACACACAATGGATACAGATCCCAAGATCCGCCATGGATTTCACATATTTCCTGGACGTGCGTCTTCCCTCCGCTTCCCATATGTAACGTCTGTCTGGGGAAGTCAAGAGGTACCGATACCGCTACTCCCCGGACCTCTCCCGCGGTGCATTCTAACCAGAATTGCAAGGCGAATCCAGCGGTGACGACGAGGGCCTCCCAGGAGGCCGAAAAAGGGGAGGGCGGGCGAGGGGTAGCGGTATATTGGTACCTTTTGCTCCTCTGAATCTCTTCCCGGGAATCGACGATTCTTGGTGCCTGTCTTTTCTTCCCTCCTGACGAGGGCCGCTATGGTTAGGTCGGGCATGTCCAAATGGCAAAATAGCCAGAAAATGCTCAACCATACCATCAAAAATGGTAGAAAAGTAGTTTTTACCATTATTCGGCGGTGAACAAACCTCCCTTTAGTAGACCTCCCCTTAGTGAAAACGGCCTGGGACCGAAACCGACGGACCTGCACCCGCCAAAGAGACAGCAGCCGCGACGCCCTCTCGCGAACCGAAAACGGCCAATTCGCTACTCGACGTGTCAGGGTAGAAGGTCTATCCACCTCCGAATTTTTGAACTTCTAGGGGGCCACATGCGAACCCTACCCCTACGCCCCACGATTTCTGAGGGGGAGGGTGGGGTCCACTTCGCTCGGGAGCTCCCGAAGGAAGTGAACCCCACCCTCCCCCTCAGACATCGTGGGGGGCAGGGGTAGGGTTCGCATGTGGCCCCCTAACTTTCCCCCTGTAGAAAAACTTGGGCGTGACTTAACGGGGGGGTCATAAACGGGAGGTCAGAAACGGTCCCCTTTCGTGCCCCTTTCGGGCTCCTCCGAAGCCCCAGGGGGCTCGTTGAGGTACCGTTTGGGTACCTTTTCGGACCACCCTTGCCACCCCCCCATTTACGATCCACCCATTACGCGACGCCCAAAAAACATCCCCCACTCGACGCTCCGGGCGCCCGTCCTGCAGCGGCCCCCTGCGGCCCCGCGCCGCGCCCAGCGCCAGCGCCAGCGCCAGCGCGCCCAGCAGCGCTCCGGCGGCGCCGACGCCGGCGCTCAGGGCGGAGTCGGGCGCGGGAGCAGCGGCGTCCTCTGTTGGGGGGGCCCAGGGACACACAGAGAGGTGCACACAAGGCCCAGGACTCCCCATAGCTATGGTCATATATATGTATATATATATACATATATATATATATGGTTGCCCCCACAAAGATCATGCATCTCGTTTTAGCTCAGCTTAGCTTAGCTTAGCGCAGCATTAGCATAGCATAGCATAGCGCAGCATAGCATAGCATAGCGCAGCATAGCATAGCATAGCATATCATAGCGCAGCATAGCATAGCATAGCTTAGCTTAGCATAGCACAGCGCAGCATCGCATATCATAGCATAGCATAGCGCAGCATAACATAGCATAGCACAGCATAGCACAGCATAGCATTGATACTACTACTACTACTACTACTACTGCTACAACTACTACTACTACTGCTACTCCTACTACTACTTCTACGACTACTACTACACCTACTACTACTACTACTACTACTACTACTACTACTACTACTATTACGACTACAACTACTACTACTACTACTACTACTACTACTACTACAACAACAACAACAACAACTACTACTACTACTACTACTACTACTACTACTACTACTACTACTACTACTACTACTACTACTACTACTACTACTACTACTACTACTCTCACTTTTACTACGACTATTACTACTACTACTACTACTACTACTACTACTACTACTACTACTACTACTACCGCTACTGCTACAATTGCGACGATGAGGAGAAGGAGGAGGACGGCGTTTACCGTTACTACTAATATTGCTCTCCTCGGGGCTTCAACTCCTCGGGGCACCTCTGGGATAATTTTCAAGTTCAGCTTGGAGAGGGAGCCTGTTGAGTATCGGTTGGCGTGTTGGAGACGGAGGGTGTTGAGTACTGGATGGTGTGCTGGAGACGGAAGGAGTGGAGTAGAATATCATTTTCAAGTTCAGCTTGGGGAGGGAGCCGGTTGAGTATCTGGTGGTGTGTTGGAGACGGAGGGAGTTGAGTAGTAGGTTATTTTCAAGCTTAGCTTGGGGAGAGAGCTCGTTGCTCCCCTGCCGCCTCCCCCCCCCAGCACCTGTCTCTGTACCTCCCGAATCAACACAGAACGCGCACGTGCACCGTGTTTGGCGCCACCGATGCACGGAAACGTTTTTTTTTTGTTTTTGTTTTTTTTGTCTGCGAAGCCACGAAACATTGTGTATTTTTGTTTTTTTGGTTTTCTGGGTTTGCAAGCCCCCGTGCCCGCCGCGGCCTCCCTCCCAGCACCCCTCTCTCTGCCTCTCAAAACCCCAAAAAAACAGTGTTTCTTGGCTTCGCAGACCAAAAAAAAAAAAGCGTTTCCTTGCATCGGTGGCGCCAAGCATTGCGTAGAGAAAGAGAGAGAGAGAGAGAGAGAGAAAAAAAAAGAGAGAGAGAGAGAAAGAGATAGAGAGAGAGAGAGAAAAGAGAGAGAGAGAGAGAGGCAGAGAGAGACAGAGAGAGAGAGAGGCAGAGAGAGAGAGAGAGAGAAAGAGATAGACAGAGAGAGAGAGAGAAAGAAAAAAAAAGGAAAAGAAGCAGTCGAGGATGAGGAGACGAAAAGGTATGATCTTGGGGGGGGGGGGCGACCATATATATATATATATATATATATTGTCTGGGTTGTCATTTGTTCATACATTTTTTCTGGGGACGCACTAAGCAATACGCACACAAGCCCCCGGATCCCACATCTGTGGCACCATCTTTTTGATCCTCGTGTCTTCCCCCCAAACTTCTCCGGATCGTCCCACATGTTCTGGGAGATCAGCGATGCATCGTGTCTGTGTGTGTTTGTTCCTTCCTGATTCGTTGAAGAACAACGATCAAGAAGGGGCCCTGGGACACACAAATTAATACACACAAATAACAGGATTCCCAATATGTTCCAATATTTTCTGGGTTTTTGTCTTCCCCCCCACTTCCCATATTTTCCAATATTTTCTGGGGAACCGACGATTAATTGTGTTTGTGTTTTTTCCCTCCTGAAATCAGGGGGGCGGACTGGCACATGGTGGGGGGACACATCGACCGCGAATCGGCGATACCTCGCCGACAGATCGGCGACAGGCCCCCGACATCGAGTCCACACGCTCCCTGGGCAGGTTGGGGCCATCGGCCCCCTATTGGCGATCCATGGGCGATTGGGGGGGTCGATGCATCCCCCCCTGAGTATGCCTATCCCCCCTCCCGTTGCCCTTGGGCCCTCCGAAAGTGCAAGAGCATCTTATTTACTGTTCCCTGATTTCGGCAGGAGCTGCGGGTCATCGAGGGGCGAACACTGGAAAGAAGCTCCTGGGAGATCTTCGCAATAACTGGTCATGGCTACAGTCGGCTGGTATCACAAGGATGCGCGAGGAGGATGCAAGGGCCTTGGAAGGCCATTTCGAGACTTTTCGATGGGCGGCGCAGACAGCGAAAGTGGCCAAGGATGGGCCGAAGGGGCAAGGATGCAAGGGTACCCTTGGGATCACTGCCCATCCTTCCTAATTATGCGGGTTGACTGCAACCAACACTAGACCCAGGATTGAGCCGGATTGACTGGGAGCACGCTGGATTGGGCGGGAGTGAACCAGACTGGGCGAATCTTCGCTCACGGATATGCTAGCGCACCGATGCCGAAAGAAACCTCCCAAGATAGGGGAACAAAAAGTGACATCAACATAAAAACTCGGAGGTCCGCGCGGATTTCTCGGATCGGCGCTGGACCCCCCTCCATGGCGCGCAGAGCGCGCCAGGGGCGGCGCCGGAGGCGTCGCCTGGGGACCCCAGTGCCGATCCGAGGAATCAGCGCGGACCTCCGAGTTCTTATGTTCATGTCGTTGGTTCTTCCCCTACAAGAGTTGCACCTGAAAGTGCAAAAGGCACATACGGTCCGAGATCGTATCGGGGCACAGTCTTCGCCGGCCTCTGAGGGGTGCCTACACGGTGCCCCATGGAAAGCGTATGCGGGCCCCCGGGGCCCTCGTGGGATGAGGCGGCCCCGTAGGGGCACCTGCTGGTAGGCTGGTTTCCTATGTGACGTGCCAGTGATTTGGGACGTTTTTCATATAACAATTGAAGAAAGCAAGTATACATATATATATGTATATATATACATATATATATATATATAACAGTGTTCTGGTGTGTCTCATGAGCCCGCTTGCGTGCCTCAGGCACGACGTGCTCTCAGGGCGCCGAGGGGGCGGGGGAGAGGAGGAGGACGAGGCCAAAGGGAGAAGCGACGACGACCTCAAAGCGCAGAAACCTGCACCACGGGCGGTGTCTGTGGGTACTCCAGATTTCGTAGTAAAAGGGAGGGGGGTCTCATTTCGGGGGGGGTCTCTTCCAGGCTATCTTGGAGGGCCTGGGGGTGTCTGGGGACGATGTTTTGGAGGGATCTCCCACGGGGGAGGTCTGAAATGGCTTGTCTTGGAGGGTCCAGACCCCCTCCCTTTTATTACGAAAGCCGGAGTAGAAGAAGGGCCCCGGGACGCCATGGAGCACGGGCGCGTGCGGCTGCGGGAGGTGCTCCAGGAGGTGCAGCCAAGGCCTCCTACCTTGTCGCGGTGGTCCGGCGCGAGGTGAGGGCGCGCAGGGGCGGCGCGCTGCCGACGAAGCCAAAGCCTGGCCACTTGACATACGCCCATGGAATTCGGTCGGGCACGTCCCCTACAGGCGCAGCTCGAACGAAAAATCGTCCCCATAACATGTTTGACTACTTCTGGATGCTCTTCCTGCGGAGGACGAATTCGGTCGGGCATGTCCCCTACAGGCGCAGCTCGAACGAAAGCTCGCCCCCAGAATCTGTTTGACTACGTCTGGATGTTCTTCCTGCGGAGGGACGTGCCCGACTTAACCCTTTGCACCGCGCCGCGGCGTGGGTGAATGCGGTCAGAGCGGATGAGTTGTGGCACCTGTGCTACGCCCAAGAGGACAAGGCGAAGGATGTCGGGGAGGCATATCCTCCAGGCGCGCGCACAAACCACTGAGCTGGACAAATCATCATCGAAGTCGTCATCACGGTCGGCGTCGTCATTAGTGCCCCGCCATCGTCACTGCAACGTATGCACTCTCAAAATAATGTGGCAACAGCCATCTTGTCACCTCGCCCTCGCATGCACTTCACATAGCATAACACGGCCAACCCTCGACATAATTCACCTCAAAGTTGTTGACGCCCCTCTTCAATGTCGCCCCCACTCACCCCTTCAATGCCGCTCCCCTCCAATATCGAAGCAGGGCGAAACGCTGTCTGAACGGGCGTGACTCCGAAGTTCCCCGATGGCCGACATTGAAGGGGGGCAACAAGTACTTGCCACGCAATGTCACTCAAACCCAGAACATCATCGGCAAATAAACCGCGCAACAGATTTTGAAAGTTGATTTTGTCGAGGGTAGTAGAGCTCTCGGGATCACCTGCTGGACTCCCCCTCCCCTGGTCCGCTTCGCGCGGCAGGGCAGGGGGTCCTCCAGCGCCGACCCAAGAAATCCGAGCGGACCTCTGAAATTCATGCTTGCGCACGTACTCACCGTTCACCGACTAGCATCGCAACAACCGACACCCCTCCATGCGCTACCGCCACGCTGTGGCCATGGACGTGGTCACGCGAAGCTGCAGAGCCCACAAAAACGCCGTGTGCTGATCGCAGGTAGGCTGGGGACGATGCAGGTGAGTGGAAATGCCGAAGCACGCTCTGCACAAGTGGCCTCACGGTGCTCAGTGGGAGGCGTGCATCCGTACACCGACCCGTTCGGGGAGTTCTCTTGTTGTTGAGTGCGTGGGCCAGAACTGCGTTGGCGCAGCTGCCGACCGAGGGCGCGCGTGCCACGCGCCCCGTCCGGGGCGCGTCTGGGCAGGCGCGGGCAAGGCCGCAGCGGCCCAGGTACCCATGGCGCAGAACCGCCGGCACGTGCCCTCACAAAGATGCCCCCCGACTCGATCCCCCCCCCGCCGCTGGGGGGTCCGGGGCCACGAGCAAGGCCGTCGCCATCGCAACCAACGCCCGGTGCCGGGTCTCCTGGTGCGAGGAGACCTTAGGGGCCGACCGGGCAGGCGGAGGGCGGGCAGGGCTCCCGCCTGCTCCTGCTGCTGCTCCTCCCCCCTGCTGAAGCTCTGTGGGCAGGAGGAGGAGGAAGAGGGGGAGGAGGAGGAGGAGGAGGAGGAGGAGGAGGAGGAGGAGGAGGAGGAGGAGGAGGAAGGCGGAGGAGGAGGAGGAGGAGGAGGAGGAGGGGGAGGAGGAGGAGAGGAGGAAGGAGGAGGAGGAGGAGGAGGATGAGGGCGGAGTAGAGATGGAGGCGGAGGAGGATGCAGAGGAGGAGGAGGAGATGGGCGGAGGAGGCGGAAGAGGAGGAGGAGGATGAGGAGGAGGAGGAGGAGGAGGAGGAGGAGGCGGAGGAGGCGGAATAGGAGGAGGAGGAGGCGGAGGAGGAGGAAACGGGGCCGGCCTGGCAGACGCAGGGCGGGCAGGGCTTCCGCAGCCTCTTGCTGCTGCCCCTTCCCCCCTCTGCCGAAGCTCCGTGAAACGGGGGAGCAGAATCTGAGCAGACTGCGCCGCAAGGGTTGCAGGCCTCCTTGATGGGATCAGAGTAGGTGGGCTCGAAGGATCGCGCCGCATGGCCGATACATCGGCGATACATCGGCGATGCATCGGGATGCCCCGGCGACGCATCGTCGACGTCGGCGATGCATCGGCGACGTCGACGTGAAGCAAATCGGGCCCCACATCGAGC